CTCAGGTATATAATCTGAATGAACCTTCTTCTTCTTCCTCTGATAGTCTATCTATTGTTAGCATTCCTCCTCTTCACAAGAAGGACCGCAAGTCTAATAGACCCAATTTTATTCCTTAATCTTGTAAACCTTCTTTATTAGGGACAAAGGTCTCTGAACGCTCTCAGAGATCTTCCCCAAAGCTGAAAGTGAATCTTTCACCCAAGATATCTAAGACCTCAGTTGTTCCTCCTCGAATAAATGAAAAATGTATTCTTGGAGCTTATCCCTCTTCTTTTCTAGACTCTTTTGGCCCTAAAACTTCTTTCAGCTATAGGAAGTGTCATCACTATGGTGAGACTACTCATGTCACCAATAGGTGTCCTTCAGTTATCAAATTTGGTCCGCCAGCTAAGGTAAATAAAGTAGCTAATGCTGAAAAATCAGTCAAAGTGAAATCCACTGCTAAAGTTGTGAAAATGACTAAAGCGAAGAAATCCATTGAAGCCTCTTCTTTAGGCTCAGTAAAGAATCTTGCTAACGTTGAAGCCTCTTCTTCAGGCTCAGTAAAGGAAGATGTTGCCTCTAACTCTGCTGGACCCATTGAGAAATGGGTACCAAAACAATCTTAATATCTTTTCTATTGCAGGAAGTCAAAGGCATCGGGTATCTAGATAATGGATGTTCTAGACACATGACCGGAGACAAAACCCTGCTCTCAGACTACAAAAATGAAAGATGCATTTTCGTGACTTTTGGAGGAAACGAAAAAGATATACCAAGGGCTTTGGTATATTAAACAATGGTGCAACAACCTTTAGACATGTTGCATATGTTGAAGGACTGAAGCATAATCTTCTCAGCATCAGTCAACTATGTGATAAAGATTTCACAGTTAAATTTTTGAAGAACTCATGTTATGTCTTCGACAAAGATGACAACCTCGCTCTAACAGGTTCTCGTCTAGAGAACGTGTACGTCATCAACATGGATTCTCCCTTCACTGAGAACAACTGTTTCCTTTCTAAAGCCTCTTCAGATATCAACTAGTTATGGCACAAATGACTTTCTCATCTCAACTTCAAGACGTTGAACAACTTGTCTCTAAAAGATCTTATCATTGGCCTTCCTCAACACTCTTTTTCAAGAAATCTCTTTGCTCAACGTGTGAAAAGGAAAAGCAGACAAAGGCCAACTTTAAATCAAAGCAAATCTCTTCAATGACTTCTCCGCTTCAATTACTGCACATGGATTTATTTGGTCCTGTTAATGTACAATCCATAGCTGGAAAGAAATATACGCTCATTATCATTGACAAGTTTTCCAGGTACACTTGGGTTTTCTTTCTCAGATCCAAGATGCGATGCACCTGAAGAAATCATCTTGTTCGTCAAGCACATAGAAGTACTAAACAATATCAAAGTACGATCTATCAGGAGTGATCATGACACTGAGTTGAAAAACAGTACCATTGATGACTTCATTGTGAATAAGGGAATCTCACACAACTTCTCAGATGTGAGAACTCCACGATAGAATGGGGTCGCTGAAAGGAGAAATCAAACGATTATCAAAGCCGCTCGATCAATGCTCGGTAAACTAGTCTCTCTACTCAATTCTGGGCAGAAGCTGTCAACATTGCTTGTTTTACTCAGAACCGGTCGCTGGTCGTCAAGAGATTCAAGAAGACAACTTATGAACTCTTCCATAACATAAATCCTTCTCTCAGCTTTCTTACCTTGGAAAGTTCGATCCCAAAGCTGATGAAAGAATCTTTCTTGGATATTCTTTAGTGTCCAAAGCCTTCAGAGTATTCAACAAAAGACGACAAGTAATTGAAGAATCTATTCATGTCACATTTAATGAATCTCAATCAGCTAACTCTAAACCCATCTCTGAAGATGATGAAGAGTTAAACAACTGGATGATATCTCACTATGGAGAAACTGACGCTTCCTTCAGCAATCAACCGAACGTTGACCTCCTTGAAGCTGACGGTGATTCATTCATCATTCTAGATGTGACTAATAATGAAACCGAATCCTCTTCAGGGATTGCTACCGTTCTCATTAGTCACTTGCCCCCTTTGACTTCGAATACTGACCCTTTAGTCGTTGAATCTTCTTCAGTCACTGAACCTCTATCAGTAAATGAATCGCTCATTGAGGCTCCTTTGGCAATTCAAACTGTTGTTGAAGACTCTTTTGCTGAAGCATCATCCTCTGTACCTGAGCCTCTAGTCTCAGAAGGTGATAATCTATATCATCTACCAGCTCAGCGATGGACGAAAGACCATCTCATCCATCAAATTCTTGGTGATCCAAGTGCATGTATTTAGACTCGCCGAGGTCTACAAAGAATATCAGATAAACATGATGGGAGAACTGACTTACTATTTAGGTCTTCAGATTAAGCAATTTGATAAAGGCATGTTTTTCAATCAGAGTAAGTATGTCAGGTATATGTTGAAGAAATTCGACTTAACCAATAGTTCATCTATGAAGACTTCAATGACTCCTCCTATCTCGTTGAACAAGGATCCAAATGGAGACTTAGAAGATATTGATGGTTATCCTTTGTACATGATTCTTGAAGATCTAGAGTTAGGTGTGATATATGAAATCTCTGAGGGTGCCAAAAGGTTTCTGAGGTTCAGTGAACTTTTAGTACAATGATGGAACGACCAAAATTATCAGGAAGCAACTCGAATTAAAGAAAGCTCAAGATGATAAAGCGTTGGGGTCGAACAAGTTGAAGTTAAGAGAAAGGTTCTTACTTCTTAAAGCATTGGAGCTGTTTGATAAGAAGATTGAGTACAAAAATGCTATAAGAAGATTTAAGACGCATTTGATTTTTAGACGTTCAAGATTTTCAATTTCTAGATCTTGAATCCAAAGGGGGAGAATGTTAGGTTCAATGTTTCATGCTTTAATGTTGCATTCAAGCTTTTTATTCTCCTTTATATAAATAGTTTAGTTCCTCTGTAAATTGTGTAAGAACTTAAGTAAGCACCTCATTTTGTAATTCTCAAAATATTTGAAGAAATACACAAAACCTTTGAAGAATTCTCTCTCTACTATTCTAAGAAACTGCCATTGTTAACCATTATTAATCTTGATTGCATTCTTGATTTGTAATAGATTGATTAATTCCTGGAACTTTAATAAATATATAAATTTAAAATATAATTAGGATAATCATTGAGTTCTGGCAGAATACTTAATTATTTTTATTATAAAAATCATATTATTAAACAAAAATAAATTACTTTGTTATTAAATCTAAATTAAATTATAATAAAAAATTGAATTAAATAAATTACACAAAAAATGAGATCTTTTGAATAGTTAACTAATATCGACATATTTTTTTTCTTTAAATTCATATTTTATTCAAAAATAAAAATATTATCGTTTTTCAAAGATCATATAAAAACGTATTATATCAATGGAGAAAATGAATAAAATCGCTCTATTGCACGAGTATTTAGGGGTGTTTGGGATTGCTTATTTGAAACAACTTATGTTTTTCTACAAAAGTGTTTATCAACTTATTATAAGTTAGAATGGTTTAACTTCTTCAAAAACTTCTTATTACCGGTTTGACACCGTTATAAGTTGTCTATCCAAACACTCTAAAATGCTTACTATCGGTGTCACACTGAAATAAATCAATAAGTTATTTTTATAAGCAATCCTAAAAGTCTCTTTGGTAGTGTTTGGTATGCAGACAGGACGAGACAGGACATGACGGGACTGGACAGGATAGGACTAAATCATATGTCCTATGTTTGGTACGACTAAACAACATTGGACAAAACTGTTAAAATGACTAGATTGCCCCTAAATGTTGTTTAATGTTATTTTGCATCAGTAATGATCGTAAATGACACAAATCAACCAAAATGTATTTAAAATAATTACACGTATGATATTTATACTATTTTCTAAATTTATATACACGTAACACAGCAATTGTTAAAAATATACATAATTTAAAAATATTCCAACACATATCTTGAAAGACTACACAGATTGAAGCTCATATATGAAGAAACCAGCCATGGCCCATGGGCACCAATCGAAAACCAAACATCGATCCTCAAGGATAGAACTTATAACTACAAAAAGAAAACACGGGGRAAACAGGGTGAGAAARATTGAAGCAATMGATGAAACCGTACCTATCAATCGAAGCAATCGATTGAAGAATATAGCCGGAAGAGATGATGGAAGACATGGCGAGAAGATTGAAGCAACCGATTGAAATCAGGGTGAGAAAAATTGAAGCAATCGATGAAACCGTACCTCTYTGCACAAATTTGAGTGTCTGTTCGTTTTCATGAATCAGATCGACTAAACAATCTAATAATCGCAATCAATCATCGATATCCCCAAATTTCACATAGTTCTTCCATAATTCAATTGAAAATTTTGAAATTATTACGTAAAAACAAGGATTTCAAAGAAAATTATGGATAGCGGCCCTCCATTCTACGAGGGTTACCAACGACGAAACCTAAAACTGAGAAAAAAACGTTGCAGATCATCATCGGCATCATCAAAATATTCTTCTAGACCTTCACTCTTCTTGGCTTTCTTCTCTTGCCTCGCGTGGCTTTACATCGCCGGCAGATATGTATTGTTTTAGGTTTAGTTTATTTGAGAGGGTATAGAAGTAATTTTGTAGTTTGTCCCATGATGTTCCACCTTTTTTGGTGGAACAAAACATCTCAAGATTTGTCCTACTAAAATTAAAAATAATCCCACCTTGTCCAATGCTTTTTCTGTTCATGGCATGCCAAACATGGAACTATTCTTTTTTGTCCCGTACCGTCTCATATAGTCTGTATACTAATTGCACCAAAATTTGAGGAAAAAAGAATCAAACTTACATTTGTGGAGGGATATTAAAAAACCTATGATATGACGTGTCTCCAACACCGTCAAAACGCGCAAACTCCACTCTGAAAAAGAAAAAAAAGAAAATACAAAGTCTTTGTATCAAAACTTCCCAATTTTTCTCTAATCAAATGGTGCATCCGCCGCCGTCTTCCACCGCCCAATACACCCAACAATTCCTCAGTTCCGTCCTCTCCCAGCGTGGCCCGGCATCCCTTCCCTACTCCGAAGACGTCAAATGGTTAATCCGTCAACATCTTGTGTCTCTCTCCGAGACCTACCCTTCTCTCCAGCCCAAAACTGCCACCTTCACCCACAACGACGGTCGCTCCGTCAACCTCCTACAGTCCGACGGTACAATTCCGATGGTGTTTCAGAACGTCACCTACAACATCCCCGTCGTCATCTGGCTCATGGAGACTTACCCACGTCACCCGCCGCTCGTCTTCGTGAATCCTACGCGTGATATGATCATCAAGCGCCAACACGCTTTTGTTAATCCATCTGGTTTGGTTTCGATCCCTTATTTGCAGAATTGGGTTTACCCGAGTTCTAATTTGGTTGATTTAGCTCGTAATTTGAGTCATTATTTCGGTCTTGATCCGCCGTTATACTCGCAACGCAGACCAAACCCTACCCCAAACCCTAGTTTTAATCCCTCTGTGTCTTCTATGGTATCTCCATCCGGATCAGTTTCATCTGGGTCTATCCGGCCGGCAATTCCACCTCGGTCTTATCCGCCGTCACCATATGGTGCTACGGCCGGCAGCGGGAGGATACCGTCGGGATCAGCCACGGAGGATCCCGGAGAGGTTTATAAACGGAATGCCATCACGAAACTCGTGGAAAATGTGCATACTGATGTTGAGGAATTGAGGAAGAAGAGGCAGACCGAAATGGAAGGGATGTTCGTTGCTCAGGCGGTACTGAGACAAAGAGAAGAGGAGCTTTTGCAAGGTATGAGGGAGATGCAATATGAAAAAGAAGCTTTAGAGCAGCAACTACAGATGGTTTTAATGAATACAGATGTGTTAGAAGGGTGGGTGAGAGAGAATGATGGGAAATTGGGGGGTAATGCAGCAAATGTTAATGCTGATGATGCTTTTGAGCCATCAGATTCGCTATCGAAACAGATGCTCGACTGCACATCATCTGATCTTGCTATTGAGGATGTAATTTATGCATTGGATAAAGCTGTCCAAGAAGGGTCGATACCATTTGATCTTTATTTGAGGAATGTGAGATTACTATCACGAGAACAGTTCTTCCAACGTGCAACGACTGCAAAAGTCAGGGCTGCTCAGATGCAAGCTCAAGTTACAAACATGGCTTCCAGGGCCCCTCCATATGGCATCTAGTAGTTATCACTTATCTGGCTGTTCTGCCTTCGTGTTGTGTGGTATGTGCAACTAAACCCTTAAAGCGAGCTAATGAATTAACTTGTTTTAGTGTTCATGCTTTCTTGTGAAGATCCTTGAATTCATGACATATGTACTCCTCGCTTTCAAAGACTTCTTATAGAACAAAAATTCAATGTTGCTAGCACAAATCAGATATACTAGAGCACTGATGTACCTGGTTTTTGTACAGTTTAGTGCTTTTTTGAAGTACCCATTTTGCCAAGTTTGAAAGCAGTGTTGATGCAATAGCATTTTATGTGTTCTTGATTTCTTTTTTGATCTTTGTTCATCATGAAACTATGTTACCAATAGGGTTTTTCCAATTGTTTATTTAATGCTCTCTACTGTACCTGTTCAATGATGTTGCTAAGGTTTTCTAAAGCACTATATGTGCAATTCAAAAGTCGGAATATAACATGTGTGTGAATCATAAAGCCACTACAGTTAGGGTCTGTTTGTTAGCAGCTTAATGGGCTTAAAGGAGCTCCTAGATTATCCGGTCAGCTATATATTACTGTATGGTAGTGGCTTAATGATATAGAAAGTGGTTTATTCAGTAAGCTTCTAGGGGGAAGCTTTATGTAGAAAACCAAGTTTTTCCCAAACCCGCCCTTTCCAGTTAAAAATCACGCTTCTTCCATCTATGAAAAAACTATCCCAAGCAAAAACCTTCCCATCTATTCAGACAAATTAATCCACATAGACCGATTTATCCATACAGAACCAAACAACCTCTTAGTGATCGCCATCTTTAATCATTGCCTTTGTAGTTCATGGGCAAAAAGTTATGTTACAAGTTAGAATACTTGTTGTGTGAACCTTATAAATTCCGATAAAATCAAGGAAGCCTTGCTGCAAACCAGCTTCAGTAAGATGGAAAAAGCATCTAAGACAAACACACTCAAATTTAAGCAATATACAATATTGGAGAAAGTGTTTAGGGTGAAACATAACTATGGTAGAATATTTTTTGGGTTTTATATGTTGTTCAATAACTGTAGGTAGGTTGTTATTATTAATAAAGGGGAATATGGTGGTTAATTATTATACTTATGTTATTAGTTATTGGGGATACTTTAATCTCCTTTCCTATTTCTCTATTTGTATAAAGATGCAGTCCCCATGATTGATAATTAGATGAACAAATGGATTTCTGTGTAGTATATGCCAAGTCTTGGAGCTTGAGGGATTTTCTCATACTCCCTTCTTTCCAAAATAAACGTCTAGAAACACATTTTTAGAAATGTGTAATCATCACTCTTTGTAATTAACTAAATCACAAGTTTACCATTAATAACAGAGAGAGTAATGATTTTATCCATCTCATAATAAAGGGTAGAACTGGAAAGTGGACACTTATTCTGGGACAACTAAAATAGATATCCCAAATGAAAGTAGGGTCTAGGAGGGGTATGATGTATGCAAACCTTTCCATGAAGATCCCCGGCTTGTGCACGACGCTAGGTGTATGCGAGCAGGCAATAAGATAGGTAATCAGGAAATATAATAGGCTTAGGGCGACCTTAGACGGTAATTGAAGCATTTGCGTAGGAACACCCTTATGAATCCACCACTACAATTTTTGTTCATAATACCCGTTCATTTTTTTTATTTTGATCAGAAGAGCCCTTCTGATATGCTTCTTTTCAAGATCAATCTTTAGAACCACTCCTTGTAGTTTTTGATATCTATCAAGGCCCGGTCATCATCCGGAAAAGCATTTCGATATTCACTTATGAATATCTATATTAATCTGTTTGTGACCTTTGAGATTATTTAGACGGAATCCTAGGATTGATTTATGTTCTTTTGGTTTTTTTCTTTGGTATTAGCATAATGTAAGATTTTCATAATATTGCTTATGTTGGAAGTCCATTGGCTTCTGATACAAGGTGTTGAAATAGGGAAAGACTTCAAACATGATCACAAACAGATCAGAGGATCAAACAGTAAAACCAAACGAAACAAGCCCAATATATCCCACCCAAAGGGGTGTGTGTGTGTTTTTTTTTGGGGGGGTGTGGTGTTAAGACGTACACACGCCTGAGGTGGCTGTTTCCATGAAGACCCCCACGCTTATGGAAAAATAAGTAGAAAGTTTCCTCAAAGAAAAAGAGAAAACATAGCAGAAGGTACAAGAAAACATAGCAAAATGACCGAACAATAACCTGAAATAAGAAACAGGAAACAAGAAATTCGAGTTAGAAGTAAACCACATTTTTACAAGAAAACATAGCCAAGGTAAGAAGAACCACATGCCCCTACTCCGGTATCCTAACTGCCGGCTCACTAACCCTACGCCCAACCCTTCACCTCTCTGGTTCCTGCCCCTAGTCAGCTACTCCAAATATTCCTATCAGAGGTGTCATTCTCCTCAGGAAATGTCTAAATCTGCCATGTCTAGCCTCAGCTACTCCTCGGCCTACCCCTTCAACTTGTCCCCTTGACCATTTTGACCACAATCACACAACATGGTATAGATGATCCTTTTTCTTATCTTGATAGCCACAATTCACGTTCATTGATTTCTTTGTGTCGCTATTCTTTATCCTTCCAGCTTTTCAGTCCCACATTTCTACCTTGGCCTTCACTCTTTCGAGTATTTGATGACTTGTAGCTTATCACATAGATGAAACCCGTCTTCTAGTCCGCACACAGAGATGATTATCGCAGATCCATATTCCATTCTTCTTCTAGTAGTTGATCCTTGATTCCTTGATTTCATAATTTGCCATTCCATTCTTTTTAACCTCATCTTCCTTTTCTCTCACCCCCTATATGTATTTTTTTTTATTAACCTGGATATCCAACCTGCTATGCGAGCCGACTAATCCCAGGGCGACCACCTGCTTTGCAGGTAGCCCGGAGTCACCGCATTTGAACCTCCATGGCCACAAGGGGATTTTTATTTCTCCTTGGATTTGAACTTGGGATCTCCTGGCACTTTTGACCTTTGGAGCCCAAGCTCAAACCAATCAGACACCACTCATGTGGTTTCTTATATGTATTTTTAGTAATTGTCGATGTGGGTTCTTTACATTGGCATCTAGAAAGTGCTTTTTTGTTTGATTTAGATCCTTGTTTCCCTTTCTTGCAGTGGAAAGTTGGACAATTTGGTTTCACAAGATGAAGCTGTGGCATTTGCTTCCTCCTTTTCTAAATCTTCTCTTCACCATCACTTAGCATTACCTTTTGTGAATATGATAAGCATCTATCTCCTTCAATCTTTCAACCTCAACCTATGCTCAACTGGGAGTTTTAGAGAGAGAGAGAAACGATCAAAGGAAGCTATGGAATTTTTTAAACATGTATTATTTTAGCCAGGCAAATAAAAAAGAATGAAACGAATCAACTAAAAGACATGATACATATAACCGAGAAAAAACAAACACTATATATCTCACTCAGATGTATGGTATAGTTGTTATTTTTCGTTTTCATTTACATGGACCACAAGCGGTACCGAATACTTTTTATTGATGAAGGGCTAATTATAGTATGCTATTAAGATTTAAATGTTGTATTTATGTTTTCGAAAATAATTAAGGAGACAACTTTTGGCGCGGCCTAAGTCGTAGAACACGTCGTCCACACATCATAGGATTCTCTCACGCATATTATCACATGTGATAAAGGGTTCTCGCGTTCTCGTAAAATGAAGGTTGTTCTCGTTTGAATCTCCATGTATATATATGTGTATATGTATATGCAACCAACAAATTTTTGTTTAGTTGCTTTCGAAATTTTTCTCAACCCATTTGGCTTATCCTCAATTTAAAATCAATTTTGATTGGGTAAATCTCATTCAACGGAATTTTAACTGTTGTTAGAGAAAGGGATCAAACCCTTTTTTGTAAGCCACGATGACCATCTTAATAAAGACATTTTAGTGCAATGATATATTAAATAAAGTATAGTATTTGGGTAACAATGGTTTCAACTAAAAAGAAGGAAGCAAGTAATAGATACAAGGGGGTCCTGAGTTTGATTTACTTGTCTGTGGGACCAATGCAGTGGCTGTCTCGTCTTACCCTTTTTACATACATACAAGGCTAGCTAGCTAGGTCTTAAACTTTCACCAAGGCGCTAGCACTAATCTACCTAATTGTACATATAATACCCATACATGAATGAATCCATAAACAACAAAACCCGAAGAACCGAACGGGTCAAACGGTCAATTGAGTGGGCAGGTGATGAAGGTTTTGCACCATAGGGATGGGAAGCTCGTCGCTGTTACGCCTTTGATGCATTTGCTTTTGTACCGCTTTTATGGCGGCTACTCTAGCGGCATTGGCTGCCCGATTGGCGGATGTCACCACATTGTTCACTCGTTCTTCCATTTTTCCTGCTGCATCATACGCTTTCTCTGCTGCTCGCCGTGCTTCCTGATAATGATCACATAGAGATGACAATGGTAAAACATCTTCAACAGATTCTCCAATAAATAAATTCAAAAATCAAAATTTCTAGAAAAAATTAATTCGACTCCACCAGCTTCTGCATTTTGAAAAAAAGTTCTAGAGAAGCTGTAGGAGCAGAAAATTTGCCTAAAATCTCCATTCTCTCTCTTTTAGATCCATAGGACGTGTGTAGACTTATCCTTAGAGCATCTCTAACAGATTCTTCAAAATAGAGATTTTGGCCAAATATTTGCTCCAACATATTCTACAAAACTTTCTTCAAAATGGATAAGTAAGAAAATGTGGATGCAAATGAAAGCATAATCGCAAATGCAAGATGAAGAGAGGCAGGTGGTACCTGAACCGCGTTGAGCACTTTGGATCGATGGTGATCAATAACACACATTGCATTCTTCGAGCTTGGAACATCAAGAACGCCATTCTGCCAGTGCCCAGATTGAGTTTCGCCATTCCTGAATGTGTACACTCCGAATCCTTGCCTTCTTCCTTCATGCCAAGATCCTTCGTATCTATGTCCATTTGCAAAACTATATACTCCAAACCCGTGCATTTTGTCTGCAAAATATTCTCCAGCATATGTATCCCTATTTCTGCAAAAACGAACCAAACGCTTGAAAATACAATTCTAAAAGTCCCCCATTTTGCTTTTTGAATTGCCTTATGTTTGACCGAATCAGACATAAGTGGTAAAATAAGAGCTTTTTGAAAAAAACAAACACCATCTAAGACACCAAATACTTGATGCGACATAGATCAAACAGTTAAATAATCATGTTTTCGGTTCAGAAGTTATCACAACATACATAGCAGAAAAAATTGCCCATCAAAGTACTCAAACACACTCGAACAAGAACGTGTTTATAGATTTTTGCATCCGAAAAGTCAATGCAAGTATGCAACATAGATTATGTTTTCATCCATATAAGAATTATGAATAAAAAGATGGGCATCATATACTCAAATTCAAGATGATGATCAAGAACTAAAGATATTACCTGAAATGGTAGCAACCAAGACCATGTTTAACACCCCATTTGAGTTCGCCTGCATACCGGCTACCATCTTCACAAGTATGAACTCCACATCCATGGCTACGACCATTTGACCATTCACCAGCATAAACATCTCCAGTATAGAACCTATACACACCAAACCCATGCCTTAGCCCTTGCCTGTATTGTCCCCTATACCGACTCCCCTTCACCCATGTTTCTACCCCATAACCATCATACATTCCATTCACCCAATCACCCTCATACCTCCCACTCATGTAATAGTAATAAACACCACAACCAGAACACTTACCCTTATGAAACTCCCCTTCATACACATCTCCATTACTGTATGCTTGCACCCAACACCCTGAATTCACCCTTCTGTTGCCTTTTGGCTTCGACCCGATTGACCAAAACACCGGCAATGGAGGTTTGGAAGAATGGGTAGATGAATACAGATTGATTGGGAAGGATCTAGTCAGCAAAGTTCGAATGGAAGGGAGTTGAGGGAGGCCAAGGTTGAGGGAGAATAATAGGGCAGTAGAGAAAGCTAAAGCCGATAGGAAATCAAGTACGAATGATTGGCTCGGGTGAGAAACTAAGAAGTAGAAGAAGGGGAGAGATAATAAAAGGATTAAACGGATGTGGGTTTGAAGGCGGCGGAGGTGGCGGAGACGGTGGAGGAGGTGAATCGCAACTGCTTTCGTGCCGCAAAACCTCTTAGAGAAATGGGTTTCCGGCGAAAAGGGGTAAGCCTGTGATTGTGTAATCGTTGTGGTTTGGGGGAAAATAGGTCTTTTATGTGGTGTTGATTTAGGGTTTGGATGAAGATCGACATCATCAATTACGATTTCATGCTGATGATTAGGGTTAACATCTCTCACGGTGGTTGCAAAATTGTAATTATTACTGTTATCATCAGGTGATGTTGATGGCAACACTAAGAACAACGAAGATGATGGAGATGGATGATCAGAAATGGAACAAGATATCGTTGGGATGGGGTTGAAATCGGAAGAGACACCGCTGCTATCTTTTCCGATCTGAACTTCAATTTTTTTCTTATGCATTACCGATTATTCGCTCGGAATTCCTTCATGATTGTCAAGAATTTCTGTTGGGGAACTCGTGGGAAATCCTTGTATCCTCATCCAAGATTTTGATCACATGGAACACAGATTTGTGTCCACAAAAAGAGACCTCCATTGAAGATGAAAATGAAAATGAAAAGCAGAGCGGAATTTGCGTTGAATTTATGGTGTATGCGCCCAAGATCCATTTTCAAGAAAAACAATTCTGGAATTATGGATTTTGTGTATGTCATACATCTAATCCATTAAACATGGATATGGTGTCGATGGTATTCAAATTTTTTTTTTAAAGAAAACATGTATTATAAAAACATGGTAATTTTACTTTCAGTATTTTTATTACAATAATGTATTTTTAAAATATTTTTTATTAGGATATCATATTTTTAAAAATTTATTTGTTATAGTATTGAGAAACTTTTTAAATTAAATTTACCCATTATACCAAGTTCCTTTACCACTTCATCGTTCATGTAGGCTGTCCATATATACGATAATGTTGACATGACATTTCTTATTATAGCATTGTATTTTATAAAATTACTTTATTATAATATCACCAATTTGTATTACAACATTGTACTTTTAATTTTAATATTTTTATCAATTAAACATTGTAAATTTAATCAAATATATTTACTAAAAATTATAATGTTAAAGTGTATTGGTGATTCTTGTATGTGGCTATTTTAATTTGTTTGCAGAGTTTTAAGACAATATTTTCTATTCAAAAAATATAATATTTAATTTAACAAGAAACTTACGTTATGGTAAAGAAAAGATTAAATTTCATGTATTGTTTGATATATTATTTCAGGTATGTTAATGCTAAAAAAAGTTATCGATTTGGTGTCTTTTGCCTTCTCTGTATGTCAAAAAAAAGAGATATTATAATCTCAAATAATATTTTATTATAATTTTTAGTAAACATATTTGATTAAATTTATAATGTTTAAATGATAAAAATATTAAAATTAAAAGTACAATGTTGTAATAGAAATTGGTGATGTTATAATAATGTATTTTTGAAATAACAATGCTATAATAACAAATGTCATATCAGCACTATCATACATGTGAAAAGCCTATATGGACGATGAGTTGGCAAAGAAACCTGTTATAATGGGTAAATTTAATTCAAAAGATTACCCAATATTATAATGGATGAATTTTTGAAATACTATGCCCTAATAAAAAAATATTTTGGAAGTGCATTGTTGGAATAAGAAAAACTGAAGGTAGAATGTTATAATAAGAAAATTTGTAAAAGTAAGTTGTTATTTTATGCATTTTACCCTATAAAATATATAGGGCCAGTTCAGTTGGGAACTTGATTTTCGTTGTGAAGCGTGTAACATCATCAAACTATAATGTTTTATTCATTTTCTAAATATCAACAATTGATTACTTATAATGGTAATTTTGGATTTAACATTAACCAATAATAATCAAAACCATTTTAACATGAAACCAAAACTCAATAATCACCCAACACGTGAATAAAGTTTAATATATAAATACTGAAAAAATAGATAAAACTCTATTATTTAGAACATGGATGAGGTTTGATACTCAAAACCATAAATCATGGATACACTACTTACTCAAAACGTCACTGAAAACATGCATAATACTCAATACCCAAAACAACACATTTCGATGACAGGGGAGACACGGTTCTATTGATCGTGGCGCAACGCAAGGTCATTCATCAATATTATCAAGTGCCACCCTAAGGTCATGGTACCAGTTTCTAGATCCTATCAAGTTTCCACTGCAATACCTAAGGTCCCGGAGCCCGACCCTACACGAGTTTATCTTCACAATACCCCCGACCTTAATGCCTACTTACAAATTATAGAGTTACACCTACAAGCCAATGGTCCTGGGTCCGATCCACACGAGTTCATCCCCAAAATACCCCCTGATGACTTAGTGTTAACTCTACTTGCCCAAAAAGCCTCAAAACAAGGGTCCCAATGTAACATGAACACAATGGTTCATGATTCATAAAAGTCGGTAATACGACAATATGAAATGGGTCGTGCTTGTACTTCCATTTGAACATGTGAATTAGATATGTATTAATAATTAAAGAAAAAAGTTATCAACGCAAGATGAACTACAAAAAACACAACACATCATAATAAACATAATTTCGATTGAAATGAGTCTAATAAAATATTAATCCATTACCCAGACATTCGCTTTGGTTAATTTATTCACTTCCTGAACTCGAACTCCGATTGTCACCATAAACCATTTTAATCTTCTCAATATTATCGATTTTTTTCCAATGCGTTTATCCATAATAGTTTGAACGATACCGAAGATTTTACTACCGTGTTTCCTCCACGAATCAAAAACTCATAAGACAATAAAAATGGAAGATCAAGATTAAAAAATATATATATATCAATATTATAGATATATATTTTTAGGAATTTTATGATTTTGTAACTCCCCTTTAATAGTATGGGAGTTACATAGCAAATGAAATTACTCAATTACCCTTGACATTAAATTGTGAACATGATAGAAACCTAATAGAAGAATGGATTGTGATTGGTTGACATGGTTTGCAAAGTTAACACAAAAACTTTGGTTAATATTTGATTTTATCCCTATATATATATATATATATATATATATATATATATATCACTTTGGTGAAATTTGACGTATAAAACGTTTGAATGTTTATAATGTCAAAAAGATCACGTATTGACACTTTATAACTCTAAAATGCAAAAACACTAGCCTATTTATACAGATATAGTAGAGGGTCATCTATGATTATCTATCACAGAATTTTTAGTTTTGGCTCTTCTAAGTCATTCCCGCAGAAGATCCGCAATACCCATTCAATTAGTAACAATATCAATAAAACTACCAAAATTCTAAAATACAAGACCTGAATTTACAAATCTTTTTATCGGGTGTACGCTATTTCAGCAAGTTGTTTACTACAACCTCAATCATTAATAATATCAACAAAACTACATCAATATAAATTCGGTCATTTATGGATTACAAGTAGATTATGTAGTACAACAAAGATAAAAAGCTAGCTTGTCTTACCGAACAAGCATTTTTCAATAATCTTAAAATATATAAGTTTGTTTATGGTTGTCAAATATGGTCTTAATCCAAGCAGGCCAAAAAAAGCTCTAGGCCCTGCTCGACTCTACACGACTCAACTCAACTCAGTGCGGTTCGAAATCACACTTTGCACAGTAACAAAAAAAAGATCAACAAATTTCACCATACTAGAAATATGGTTTCTGGTTCAAAAAGACTCGCAAAACAATTAATATCATTTCTCAACATTCTGTTTCCAACTTCCCACAACAATTGAGGAAAACACATGATATCAAATGTGGTCCATCATCCCACATTCAAAATATGCAGCCACCAAAGGGAAAACAAGCCTTCCCTCCAATGGCAAATCCAAATAGCCATTGAAAATGGCATCAAGAAAGTTAAGAGAGAACCATTATTGAGTCGAAAAAAGATCACAAAAGAAAAACGAAAACTCGCCTTACTCTTAACCTGTAAGAGCAAAGTTAAGAGCACTATGAACATCTACTCCAATTTGGGCTTCAGCTTTCTCCAACTCAGTTGAAGCTGAGCTGAGTTTCTGAGTGAACTTGTTTAGGCCTGCTTGAACCTCTGCTGGATCAACTTTATCAAGGGGAACGGCTTCAACAGCCAATATGTCTGCATACGAGTTTGGGTGGACAAAAGCAAAGCCGCTGCTGATGAAGTATTTCTTCACTTCATTCCCTTCATGGACAGAGAGGAGACCGGGTTTCAGCTCTGCGATTGTGGGTACGTGGCCTGGTAAAATACCCATTTGCCCGGTTGTGGCTGGAACTATAACCATATCTACCTGTAACATTAAAAGATCATAAAGTGAACTATAAAATGAAATCATTGGTACAAGCATCGAACTATTTTATGTTTCCTTTATATGTGCATCTTCATCTTTCTATTAAAGGCTATATGTTTGACAAAGTAGCTGAAAAGCTAGTTTATAAACTAGTTATGTTTGGTAAAACTAGCTGATTATGTTTAGTAACACTAGCAAATAAGGTAGATGACAATGTAAAATGAAATAAAAGAATATGTCGAAAAATTATTTGAAAAAATATAAAAAAAGCATAATTTGATTATTGAAACAAATACTTCTCAAAAAGCTAGCTTATGGCTAACTAAATTGGGCTTTTTTAATAAGCTCAAAAAATAAGCTAGCTTATGGCTAACCAAACGGGACTTGCTCAACAAGATTAAAAAATAAGTTAGCTTATGGTTGCCTAACTTAAAGAGACTTCCTCAGCAATATACATGAGCAAAAACCTGTTATTGTAGATGGTTACCAGAAGTACGGCTGTTAAAAGTGAATCCCTAGCCATCTATACAATTTTCCCACTCCCTAGCCCTTTAAACCTTAATCCTCTGGCTGCCTCTAGCAATAACTGATAAATCATCAGCCGTTTCTGCCCATAGCAAGCCTAGTTACCACTGCCATTGCTGGACTTTCTGCCATAGTGATCAAGATAATTAGTCATTGTACTTGGCTTTTGCTTTCAAAAAAGCCATTGTAGCTGCAGAAATCCAAGAAACATTATACTTGAACATTCTTGCCCCAATTTCTGCAAGTACAATGGTTTTTGAAGCTAAAAGCAAGTATAATAGTTACAACTAAATATATCGGTTTTTGGGACTTGGGCAATTACATTAGTTTATTCAAAAGCTAAAGCCAAGTGTAATGGTTCCTGTGAAAAAGAGTATGTTTAGTGTGTCCCACATAGGTAGCAGATATAAGATAAATTAGGATTATTGTATATATACACACACTCTCTCTACTTCAATTCACAGCAGTTACAGATGTCGATCACTCATTCCTGCCACACTCCATCACCATCGTTGCTCTCTAGTTACTTGGCTAAACAGTCTTGCATTCTGTCCAATGTGTACACAAGCTGACTTTGTATTTGACTGTTGATTTAATGCTGCTTAGCCAGCAATCCCAGCATCCATCTGCCTGATTCCAGTTGCCACCATTTGTTCGATCTGGTTTGCTGATTTCTGGGATGTGCTTGCATTAATTTTCTGATTACAATTATTACTGATCTTGGAATGGCCGAGTATGCTACTACAATTTTGACTACTTTTTTACAATGTGCTAGTTTCATATTTTTACTCTGCAAGCTGTTGTGGAGGACAAATCGGATGAGAAAAAGTTTTATGAACCTGAGATAAATGGTCTTGTTAGGGTGATTTAGTATCACTTGGTTCTAAAAATCCTAATCAAGTTAAATGCTTCCAATTGGGAGTAGTAATGATTCAGAAAGTGTGACAAAGGGCTACTACATCACTGATGAGCCTCCATCTCCAATGACCACCATAACCACAATGGTATCCTGAGGGCTCTGCATGTCATGCCCTGCCCTCCTCCTTCTGTTTTGGTAACCACGGCAGGACCAGCTGGTGGCCCTAAGGAAACTTGAACCGGCGACTTACTTTCCAGTCAAGTGGAACTGTCATAATCGCTCAAAAAAGGGATCTTCTCACCATCTTAGAGCTCATGTTGCCATTTCAAATTCTACTTCCACGTGTTCTATACTTTTTACTACTAAGGAGGTTCCTATTAAGGGTTTGCTTTCCGATCAATTGTCTTCCACTCCTAGTGCTAATTGAATATTTGTCCAAGTAAAATCTTCTGAATTAAGTTCCTTATCATCCTCAGAGATTCACTTTGGAGAACTAAAGATTGCTACATGTTATTGCACCCTCTTCTGATTCACTAGTCTGACTTGCCAATGGTTCTTTTTGTCTCCCATTGGTGGAGCCAAGTCTTCTTGTATCGCACATTGTATTGTCTTTAACCTCTCCATTGTATCCACCATGTTCTCATAAAAGCTTTACAACTGTCAACCAAATTACATATAAAGTAAACTCTTCGATAACTTTCTTCTTCACCCATTGAGTTTTTGTAGGATCTAGAAGAACCGGTTGATTGGCATCAGATACAAGTGCAGAGAATTACGTCCCATGAATATTGTAACACCCTAGTTTCATATTTGTTAAATTACAATGTTTTAAGCCTTAAATACATATATTATGAATTTAAGTACTCTAAAAAGGTGCCAACATATATTATGAATTTAAGTACTCTAAAAAGATGCCAACAGCTGTAGCATCTATTAAATTATCATATTTTCAAGGCAAATAGCTTACAAGTAGTCTCAAGTAGTTACAAGACAAAGCATGAGAAGTCAAACCTGAAGTGATGAGTTGTAAGGGCTAGAAGTATGTGTTGGCAAGCTATTTGATGACTAAGCAAGTCTACTAAGAATGAAAAGCAAGCTAGTTATGAGTTGTCAAGGCTAGAACATGTGTTGGCAAAATTCATGATGACAAGCAAGAGCTAGAAGCATGACAAATAAATACTAGAAGCATGATGTGTCAAAATTCCTTTATATTAAGCATGAGGTGTCAAGATTCTCTTATCCTAAAAAAATGAGGTGTTAAACTCTCATAAGAATACAATTTTGGGAGCAAGAAGAACAAGTAATTAACGCAATGAATTCACCTATAAATAAGGGTTGAAGTATTACTATTAGCTCCATACCAAGAAGAAGAAATTTCTCCCTTTATACATAATCAAGCTTGAAGAAAGAAATTAAAGGAAAAGCTAGGCATAATTAAGATGAGTACTTATGAGATTTACTGAGATACATACATGCTAGGTAAATGTATTTTATTCATTATGAAGAAACTTGATAAGATGTTTTGGCATGTAACGCCTTACATGAAAATGTTGATACATTTATATATTCAAGATATATGTATCATGGCATGTTATGATGTGTTTTACACGTAAGGCATGAAATTATTATGTTGATCATAAATATCCAACGTACAGGATATAGAATGAAGGGACGTCTTCCAAACGGGCCTTATGGGGCAGCCTTTATGGACCCAAGGGGGTTAGCAAACCTCAAGACAAGTAGGCATACTTACATGTTTCAAGTGAGATCTCAAAAGAAACTTGATACATGATAAAAAGATTATTTTTGTGCATGATCAAGAGTTTTAGTGAATTACCATTCACAAAATGTTAAGCATCATGAAAATTGTTTATTCATGAAACCAAAGTTACTCATAAGCTTTTAGCTTAAGTATCTCATGTATATATCTCAGGGAAGGAGTGAAGAAGGATATCATGAAGAAGTATTGTTCTAATCAATAGCAAGCTATTGAGTTAAGTTTCCGCTAGTATTTGAACTTTTTTGTAATCATAAGCTAAGTTTTATAAATAAAGTTAAATTTCAAGTTCATATACAAGATTTAGTAGTATTAATAAGAAGGTAACAGCACCCAAAGTAGGAATTAGGGAGTTACAAATATTGTCGTTTGAATTATCCCACTGTTTTGAAGACACTGAGTTGTGACATTACTTGGTAATTACAATACAAAAGAATATTTTACTAAAAACCAAAAAAGGCCAAACCAGTATATCCCACTTAATGGGGTGTGGGGAGGGTAAGATGTAAGCAAATCTAACCTACACCCCTAAGGATAGAGCATCTGTTTCCATAAAGACCCCAGAAAAATCAGCAGATTGAATTACGAGAGAAAGCAAGGATAAAAAAATTGAAAAGCTAGTTAAGAGAAAGCAAAAACATACAAAGAGGCAGGTTGAAGAAAAGAATTACCAATTTAACTAAGCTACTGATAACTTGCTAATGATTTATAATATATTTATGTTTAGATATGGAATATTGCATGAGTCTTCATGTACATATGCATCCTATTTAGGGTGAAAAAAGAACTTGTATATATCACTATAGATCTCAAGGAGATTCGTAATTTCAAAAACAAACTTGAACGAAGGCAAGTTCCTATCCCAAACACACATCACATTGGAATTGCATTGATATGAAATCATTAAAGTACTTGAAACTAAAACCTTTACTTTTAAAACAAACGACGATTCAATTGATAGTAGTGCACAAAACCACCCTTGCTCTGAGAAGTGAGGATGACCAACCATAGCACATGAAGATACCCACACTGACCAAAGGTCATTGGCCCAACGGTACATACCTTACTAGTAGAGCCTAGCCTCTTGGGAGGTCAAAGGTTTAAATTTTACCAAATGTGAGAAGTGTGCGTGAGTATTTGCCCCATATATATATAGGGGAACAATCAAATGCAAACCACTCATATTTGTACATACCGTGCAAACCACCCACATTCGCCATTTCATTGTTTAATTTAATGAAATTGTTTAATCTTATGAAATTGTTTCAAATAATACTTTTCTTGATAAAGTTGTTTCATACATAGTTGTTTCTATGTTTTAATGAAATTGTTTCATGTATTTCCCTAGAATTAATATAATGAAGATATTATTTTAACACCATCCACAATAAAAATGACTAATCAACATCTCATAATTACAAAAAAATGAAAATTCATGATGGTTGAATGAGATTTTGCTATGTACGAATAACGTGGTTTGCAAAGTAAACTTCCACAGTATATATAATTATATATATACATACTTCAAAAAAAAGGATACCCAAACTGGGATGTTGACTACTGATAAAAAATCTGGGATACCCAATTGAAACCCACTTCAAAGCTAGAAATGCTTGAGTTAGAAACTTGTCAAAACAAAACAGCTCAAAATAAAGTTGTAAATTTGGACAAAGGCCATATGACCACACTGTTATACAGCTCAAAACAATACAAGAAGTAAATAACCCCAGATAAATTATGTTAATTACGATGCCAAAAACTCAATTAGATCGTAAAAGCTAGCCATACTACTGTAGTCCAACTTTTCAGCCGTAGCGAAAACTCAACTATGATTATAAATAACTAACAACAACTAAGTAACCACATTATCTAAAGCTCTTAAATCAAATCAAACCACAGATTAAATCAATTGACTTTATCATGTTCAAGAAAAACTTCTGCATAATTCAGACAAACTATAAATCTAACCTCTTTGCCAGAAAGTTCAGAAGCGTAAGGGAGGACGAAATTGACAGTGAGCTTAGTGGGCAAAGTGGAAGGAGTAGGAGGACGAGGTTGCATATACTGGCTAGGCGTCCTTGGTGGATCTATGTTGGGAACAACCTTTTTCCATGCCTCTACAAACGCAGTGTCTCCCGATGAAGAATCAGTGACCTCGGTGGAGAATGGCCGGCGAATGGTGACGACTGCGGCGGCGGCGGTAGGTCGAGTAAGGAAGCGAGAAGCTACTTGACGAATCATGGTGTTTGGATCGCTCGGTCGGCAAGGTCGGAGATCGGGTGAAGAGGGTATCAATCGGAGTCCGTTGATTTCTTCTCCTGCCTTGGGATTTCTGGTGAGCAGCAAAATAGGGAAAAGAAAATGGAGAAGGGATTGGGGAAAGTAGCCCTTGGCTCTTCTTGAGAGGGCGACGGTCCGATTCTTGTTTAGGAGAACCAATTTTTAAATTGTTATTTGGGAACCAATTTTTATTTTTTTTACTTTGGGGAATCAATTTGTATCTGATTTTTATTTTGATGAACCAATTTTTAAAATCATTATTTTGGTGAACCAACTTGTATCTGATTCCTATTTTAGAAAACCAACTTGTAAAATAATTATAAATAAATAACTAAAATTCGTTTTTTTCCAAAAAATAATACAATAAAATCTATTTTTCATTTCAAATCTCGTTTTTTTTAAATTCAGATATCAAATCGAACATTTAAAAAAATCCAAATTACCACAATAAAAATTGTTTTTTACTAATGCAAAAAAAATCTATTTAATAGAAAAAAAATTAATTGATGCAATTGGTTAGATTTAAAAATCTTGAATGTGATATTTAATATTTATTTTTTATTGCATCAATTAATTTTTTTCTATTAAATTGATTTTTTTTGCATTAGTAAAAAACAATTTTTATTGTGGTAATTTGGATTTTTTTAAATGTTCAATTTGATATCTGAATTTAAAAAAACGAGATTTGAAATGAAAAATAGATTTTATTGCATTAATTTTTGGAAAAAAAATGAATTTTAGTTATTTTTCTATAATTACTTTGCAAGTTGGTTCTCCAAAATAGGAATCAGATGCAAGTTGGTTCCCCAAAATGACGATTTTGAAAGTTGGTTCCCCAAAATAAGAATTAGGTGAAAGTTGGTTCCATTTTGGTGCAATTTTCCCTTTTCTTGTTTTTAAAATACAATAAAATTTTGTTTTTAATTAAAGATAACTAGTCGTGCATTTGAATACGTGACACACGAGTCATAAATATAAATAATTTTGAAGTTTTGGTAGTTTTGTTAGAGAAGATTTTAAGGATGATATATATATATATATATTTAGGAGACGTCTTACTCAAAAAGTGTTTTGTAATACCGGTATTTTTAAGGTTAATCGTTTAAGGGAATAGATTTGTTTTAGTAAGTCATTTAGTGTCTAGCCATTATTGAATGTTTGTTGCTTCTGAATCAAAAGTCATGGTTGATTTTGGATGAAGAAGAGTTGTGTTGAAAGTCATTTGAGGTATTAAGAGACCTCTCATGCAAGTTTGGTCACTCGAGAAGTCACAAATCAGCTTAAAAATGCAATAAAGTGTCAAGCTGGTTGTCAAGTGAGTTGAAGTCACTTCAAAATTCATTGGACTTTGCAAGTATGATTTTTTGGCTCGGGCGACTTTCCACACGAGTTAAACTTGCCTAAAAGTCGCGAGGAAGCCTGGCCTGCACAAAAGACTGAAAATCGGGGTTTTCCTCATCATGGTCATAACTTTTCATTTCTTACCCGATTTGAGCGATTCTTGAGGTTGTGGCTCGTATTTGGAAGCTCTTTAAGATAGAGATAAAGATAGTTAAAGCTTACTTGATGATTTTGGGGTTCATATAGGTTGAAGGTAAGATCACATCTTTGTATTTTGAATATAGGGTTTGGTCATTTTGCACCAACAACTCTCATTTCTTCTTTTAGGTTGTTTGTGTATGTTTTGGAAGTAAAAGAAGTTTTTTTTGAGAAGCCATGCATCATAGATCTAGAAAGCTAAATCTAGCAAGGTAAATTCTATTTGCTTTGTGAAAACTATATACATTCCAAAATATGTATTTTGAAATCTTAATGTGTTTTACTTGATATTTATCAAATGTGTTAAGCATTTGATGAAGTATGCATATTTGGTAAATTTGGGTCAACAAATCTTGTAAAACACCTATATTTGGGGTTTTAGATATTTTGATACGTAAATATCAAGAATGTGTATCTTGGTGATTTATTGTACAAATAAGATTAGTTGATATTAATGCATTTTGGTGTATTTGGTTTTATAAACCGTTTGAGAAATACATGTTATTGTGTTATAAGACATTTTGGAGATAATCAGATATCTTTTCACTTGGAAAATGATTTATCTCAACCAATGATGAGTTTTTGAGTTAATCATGTCTTTGGAGCATGTACTTGCATAAACGTTGATTAAATATGTTTCATTCCTTTTGATGACTTTTAGGGGTCGTTTGGTTCGCAGAATTCGAAGGAATTTGATGGAACTGGAATGACAAATTCCTTTGACCAAATTTCCAATTCCTTTGTTTTGTTCATTTCTTGAAATGGATATAATCATTCAAATTCCATTGAATTCCACAAATTAATGAATTTATCATTCCTTGGCATAATGGAAGGAATTGAATTCCATCACCACTCACCATGACCATGCTACTATTGTTCGTCATGCCTCACCCCTAACCCCCCCCACCACCAACACACCACTACCATCGCCGCCACCCACCCCACCTACACTACCTCACCACTAACCAACATGTCACTATTGTTGTCATCACATCCACCCACTCCCTGGTCACTCACTGCACATCCCTACCACGACCACGCTTTTATCTTTACTGTCACGCCCCTAACCTAAACCCCATCACCACACCATTATTGTCGTCAATTTAAGTATTTGAAAAATCTGTTTTAAATTGTAGGTACACCAAATAAAGAAAAAGAAAGGAGTTCAACTCGTGAACTTAGCCGATACAAAGCTATATGATAGCACCCAACAATTTCCATTCACCCCACCCCATCCTACCCCAACCCACCACTAACCATTAGGGGTGTTCAAAAACCCGATCAACCCAACCCAACCCAACCCAACACGAAATAACTTAACCCGAAGCAACCCGATGTCTAATCGAGTTATAAAAATTTCAAACTGTAGGTATTGGGTTGATATTAAGTTACTATTATTTGAACCCAACCCAACCCGATGAACCCGATATCATTTTATTTCTTGGATTTAATGTGATTGTTGAATTTCTATCAATATATACATTAGACAATTACACTATCACGTACGCTCTTCATATACACATATTTTCAATCTATTCACATCTCTATATAACTCATTCGTATATATTCAGTAATTGTGAACATATATATGTAAATTGAGAAAATTAACTGAATGTGATATACATAAGAAGTATAGATAAGTTATATCAAATGGTTGATGATGAAAAAGAAATTATGAGTAGAGAAATAACATATTCAAGGTTAGAAAAATATTTTAATGTACCAAAATATCAATCCGAACCGTACGGTTTTGGGTTGGGTTGGGTTGCACTTTGGCTTGGGTTGGGTTAGGTTGGGTTGAGTTAAGATTTTTCAAACCGCAAACATTAGGTTAGGTTGTTCAAATGTCTTTAACCCGATCAATCCAACCTATGAGTACCCTTACTAACCACCATGCCACTACTGTCGTTATCATACCCACCCACTCCCAGCCACCCGACCATCATTCTACCATTGTCGTTGCCACAGCTACCACCCCGCCACCTACCCCTGCCCACCCCACCATTCTGCCACGCC